GTAATTTTTTGGTATTTTTGACTTCTTGTTGAAAACCACAAGTCCGATTACTTTGATATTATACATACATGTGTATAGGTCCTCCTCTCAAATTTGTTCATTTCATGATGATATCTTCAATTCTCTCATTTAGATGGATATTTTTGGTAAAAAAATGATATTTTTGACTTTTTGTTGAAAACAGCAAGTCTGATTGCTTTGATACTGTACTATAGATATAGGTACCTCAGCTATACCTCTCTTAGATTTGTTCATTTTCTAATAATATCGTGCATTGCTAACAGCGGAGCTATCTCAGCAAAAAGGATGTTTGGTATAAAATATGCTATATCAAATGTTTACTATTACTTGTTTATTTACCACTGCTCATATACTATTTATAGACTTCTTTTCTTCAAACCGTCTTGTAACTCTGTTTCGCAAACACAATGTATCAGATTTGTTTTTGTAGACATGTTTTTGTTTTGAAATTTGTTCATCGAAAAGTGTAAATAATATTTTCTCCGTATGTACGTATATGATGCAACATACATGTATGTTCGAAATTCCCATTTGATTGAATCCCAAGAGATATCACATCAAAGAAAAAACTGCAGTTGCCTGTTCCTGTATTCTTTTACATGCTTCACTTTGTGCTTATTCTTTGACTCTCTTCTTTCAGTGGATTATGATGAATGATTTTGTTTGGTTTATGTTATTTCTAATATTACTAAGTATGACATCGATATCCTGGCTATAGTGCATGAATTTCATCTCAGATCAAACATAATATGGCTAGCCAATTTTCATTTACCCTATTGACTTAAATTCTGCTATTTGTAAAGCTGACAGTATACCTTATGATCACCTTGCATGAATGTATATTAAATGGGTTATATTTTGGCAGTTTTAATAAGGGTATTTTCCATGATGATGAATTTTTCTGTCTCGTATAATTAAATGAATATAATACAAATATGGGAGAGAGTCATAATAGCTGTAATGCTTATTAGGCACTCTAAAAATGTGAGTGAAAAATTTAATATTTAAAAAAATCCATCCATCAACATTTCTATTCATTATTCATGTCGTGAAGAATGCTCAACTGAAATGGTTCACCTTTGCGCTGATTCTAATCTTAACATTCCTGTCTGTCAACGATAGAAACATACTTCAATTCTAAACTACCAAATTTAGTTCTATAAAAATTCCTTTGTGCATTGTTTTGTGCCTGCTGTATCAACCAGTTAGGATTACTTTGATATATCACAAGTATAGTTATTAAAGTATAAGCTCAAATACTAAAAAAAATTAAGCAGTTCAATCAAACAGAGATCAGTATATCTGCATCTATTCATCCATGCATAATCAACATGCTTTTTCTGTGTTCTTGTATGCAATGAACTTGAATACAATTAAAGATTGGCCAACTGGCAGCCATTTTAGTTGTAAAAAAAAGTATTTCCATCTTCCAGAGCCCTTTCTCTGGAGCATGAATTGATACAGACAATTTGTTGTATCCTTATAAATGACTACCGTGCACATGAGACGTGTATACTATTGTGGCAATCATACAAGAAAACGCATTTATTGTATTTTCCATTTAAAGATTGGCCGACTGGCAGCCATTTTAGTTGTAAAAATAAGTATTTCCACCTTCCAGAGCCCGATCTCTGGAGCATGGATTGATACAGGCAATTTGTCGTATCCTTATAAATGACTACCGTGCACATGAGACGTGTATACTATTGTGACAATCATACAAGAAAACGCATTTATTGTATTTTCCATTTAAAGATTGGCCGACTGGCAGCCATTTTAGTTGTAAAAAAAAGTATTTCCACCTTCCAGAGCCCGATCTCTGGAGCATGGATTGATACAGGCAATTTGTCGTATCCTTATAAATGACTACCGTGCACATGAGACGTGTATACTATTGTGGCAATCATACAAGAAAATGCATTTATTGTATTTTCCAATTAAAGATTGGTCGACTGGCAGCCATTTTAGTTGTAAAAAAAAAGTATTTCCATCTTCCAGAGCCCTTTCTCTGGAGCATGGATTGATACAGACAATTTGTCGTATCCTGATAAATGACTACCGTGCACATGAGACGTATATACTATTGTGACAATCATACAAGAAAACGCATGGGAACTTGTCATAGATTTGATGTTACAGTAGTATATACTTAAAAGTAACTGTACCATGGACAAATATGTAGAGGGATGCACCAAGCTTGTTGTTCCATCACAGTATAAAGCTTTTGAATGTAGGAAAGATCAATAGGCCAGTTATTCAATCTGAACTGCAATCAGATAAATCTTGTACTTCCCTGGATAGTTAACTTGTAGTAATTTAATGCTTGACTGTTTTGTAACCTATATATGGTATTACATCACAGTGTGGTCTGCTGATAATTAGTCTAAATCATTATTTGTCTACGCTATATTACCGATAATAGTATTAATACATAGGTTTTGGCTTTTGTGTACAACAAGCACGCAGTGAAGAGCCTTTGAGTCAACCCCGTCTGTGTGTATATCTCTCTGTTTCCACCGATACGTCATTTGGCTTCAGTAATACTTCCAATGTTGTGGTAACATGCTTGAGATATTCCACATACCTGATTAGTTTTGACCCAAAATCCAACCCATTAATATCTATATAAATATTGGTGTGCATATGCATTAATTGTTAGTTTGAGTGAATTTTGACTGCGTTTTGAAATTTGTATTGCTTCGTATGTGAATTAACATGAGAAAATGTTCTATCACACTTATATTTGTGTAATGCAAACTATTAGAACTAGTTTGTTGACCTATTATTTTTGTTATTCACAGTTTAGTTTTTTTTCATATTTGGAATTGACATGTTTTACATTGTTACTTGCATAGAGTCTATGTATTAGCTGGGTAATATCAAAAAAAAAATCGCAAAAATGATGACCTCTATTTATTATTGATGCTATCAGTAACAGATAATAATAAATAATAGAATAACCTCCCAATGTTTTTGTGAAACGGATCTTGATACTAGTTGTGAAGCTAACAAAAATAATGAATTGGGGACTACACCCATGCACTCACAGATTGTTTGTTACATTACAATATTTCTTTTGGTGAATATTTTTGTTCATTTGTATTCAGTTTTGCACATAACCCCCACATAAACAATCGTATTCAGCAAAGATTGTGCTAGATTTTTGTTGAAAAGTTTGATCATTTTGATCCTGCCCACTCCACTTATTTTTTTATATATGAGCCTGAATATGAGAATATATTGTGTGTGGATGGAGAGTATCAATTGACATACATCACCATCCATAATCATCATCTCTGATTGTTGAGCTACATGTATGTTGAAATGTTGCTGTACTTAGTTTC